ACAATAATGAATTAGTTTGCTGCCATGCTCATGCAACTAATTAGCTTTTTTTAATCTACTGTGATAGACTCATTTGATGAGTTTCTGTTCATTCTAAGTCTTACTTTATCATAGTTTAAGTCGCCTCTCTTTTGGCTAGTTGATGCCAGTCTTTTTGACATGACCTAATCATCTTGTATAGTTTTTTTGCTATCTGGTATGTCAGGATGTTCCAGAATTATCCTGTACATTTTCTTCCCAATACTTGCTACCAGCTACTCAACGAAAAACTTAGTTCTAAATATACAAATGATACATAAATATATTCTTGAAAAACTAAATATTCCAGGGCAGTGCCCATAGCTCGGTGGGTAGGGCACTGGCCACATACACCGAGGTTGGCGGGTTCAAACCCAACCTGGGCCAGCTAAAACAACAATGACAACTGCAACAACAAAAAAATAGCTTGGCATTGTGGTGGACACCTGTAGTCCCAGCTACTTTGGGAGGCTGAGGCAAGAGAATCACTTAAGCCCAAGAGTTTGAGGTTGCTGTGAGCTGTGCCGCCACGGCACTCTACCCAGGGCGACAGCTTGAAGCTCTGTCTAAAAAAATTAAAACAAAAAAGAAAGAAAGAAAGAAAGAAAGAAAAACTAAATATTCCAGATCCTTTTCTCAATCTTCTTCCTTTCCACAGAGGTAATCTGGGTTATCATTTGGCTAACTTTCTTTTCCTAGGAATTTTTTTGTCTTCAGATAGAACTAGAAAATTGTTTGATTTGCTTTTATAAGTGTATATTTTTCCTTTTTTCTAACTTTTGAAAGTCATAAATGATATGTATGACATAGCTTGACAATTTTTCTTGTTTGTGTGTAGAGCTCTACCACTTTCTTTTACAACTGCTACACGATATTTGATATAATTCTACCTCATTTTAAACAAATTTTTGTTTTCTGAGACAGAGTCTCACTCTGTCAACCTGGAGAGAGTGCTGTGGCATCGTCATACCTCACTGTAACCTAAGACTCTTGGGCTCAAGTGATCCTCCTGCCTCAGCTTCTTGGGAAGCTGGGACTACCTATTCCCACCACGATGCCCAGTTTGTTTTTCTGTTTTTAGTAGAGATGGGGTGTCGCTCTTGTTCAGGCTTGAACTCCTGAGCTCAAGCAATCCACCTGCCTTGGCCTCCCATAGTACTAGGATTACAGGAGTGAGCCACTACGCCCGGTTCGTTCTACTTCACTTTATTAAACTGTTCTCCTAGTAGTAATTATTAGGTTGCTTTCAATTTTTCCACTAGTGCAACTTTGATGGTTTCTGTTGTCACAAAGCAGATATTGTTTGGAGTCACGTGCGTTTAGATTTTCACCAATTTGCCCTCAAAACTTCTGTTCTTCCCCTCAAAGCAAAATAGAATACTTGTTTCTCTGTCACTTTTTAATACTTGATATTATCAGATTTCACCAATCTGAGGCCAGGCGTGGTAGCTCATACCTACCGGTCTGATCTTAGCACTCTGGGAAGCCTAGGCAGGCAGACCGCTTGAGCTCAGGAGTTCGAGACCAGCCTGACCAAGAGCAAGACCCCATCTCTACTAAAAATGGAAAAACTGGCTGAATGTTGTGGTCTTTGAGCCTATTGTCCCAGCTACTCGGGAGGCTGAGGCAAGAGGATCGCTTGAAACCAAGAGTTTGAGGTTGCTGTGAGCTCTAACACCATGGCACTCTGCCTAGGGTGACTAGAGTGGGACTGTTTAAAAAAAAAAAATTGTTTTTTCCACCAATCTGAGCATGAGTAACATGCCAGGACTTCCCAGTGCCTTTCTGAGGGAGGGAGGGAGAAGCCTAGCAGGCGCTGTTGGGGGGTGGTGCTACAGCCGTCTCCTGGGTACAGAGGGTTCCCAGTCCTGGGCTATCACCAGGTCTGAGGCACCGGTGAGGCCGCTGCCTGCGGCCTGGGAGCAGAGACCAGCCTATTCTCTTGATACGCCCTTGTCCTCCCTCCAGCTCTTGGCCTCTGCCCCTTCTTTCTTGCCCTTCTCCCTGCTCTTCCACTCTTGTTGCAGTTCTTGCCCTTGTGCATTTTGGTCTGCAGCTTTATTTTCTTCCTCTCTCTTATCTTTCCATCTTTTTCCAATTTCTGCAAGCTCAGGGGCCACTGATGACAAGGAAGTATTAAAAATGTGTCTTTCCCTTCATTTCTCAGATTCAGAGTGGGAGCAGGAGGCGGCATTTGAGTTGGGTGGAAGCCTATTCTCATCAGAAACACAGGCTCAATGAGAATGTTCTTTTGAGAGTTCCCTGGGCTCACTTTTCTCCCTCAGAGTTTAAAATTCTATTTGCACACTTTAAAATTGTGCAATCTAATAGTTAAAATCACTTGAACAACAACAAAGGCACTGACTCACCTGCATCTTACAGCCTGCCAAGACACCTTGAATAAGCCTGCTTTTCTAGATTTCACTGTCCACCCATCTAGCTTCTCCCTTTCTATTCCTTCCTTGCAAGCCAGACAAGCAGATGGAGAGAGAGGCACAACCTTCCTTGTGGGTTGCTCTTGATTCTTTGTGGTGAAAAGGGCCAGCACGGTCATGTAAACTTGATCGTGTACCTTACAAAGTAGTAAAATGGCTAACGGAGCTAAAGGGCCAAGGCTTGCGGAATGGACAGCACACATCTCAGCCCCCACCTCGTGATTTCCCTGCTTGTTCCTCTTACCCGATCCTTTCTTTAGAAGGCGAGGGATTTTTCTCATGAGCTGCTTCACTTTACTGAATAATTTGAGTCCGCCTTCTAGGATCTGTCAGACCTGGAGCGAGTCACATGAGCGGGCGGCCAAGTCACATGAGTGAGCTGCCTGGTGGGCGGAGTTTCTCCCCAGCTTGACCCGTTTTCTGAGTTAACATGTTCATTTAGGTTTAAAAATCACAATCTGTGTTTTTGATCTGTTAGCTTTTTTTCTCTTCTCTGATAAATTGAAAATACTCCATCCATATTGACTCCTGTCAGTATTTAAAATACTGGGTAATGTTTATTGTTTACTTATGTACCAGGTACTACGGTTTCTTGGATTGTGCTTAATCTTCACCACTCCCCAGTAAAGTAGGTGCTTTTATTATTTATCCTCACTTTACAGAAGAGGCAATCTCAGTACTGAGAGATTACACAGCTGCCTCAGGTGACATATTAATGCGTCCAGAACTCAAACCTAGGCAGTCTGACTCCAAAATTCTGGTCTTAACTGCTGTGCAAAACTTCTGCTAATAATCCCCTTCATCCCAAGTAAGTGGTTTCATTATCTTGATAATTTCATTATTGATTGTATGGGCATTTCTTACACAGTCCTGTTAAGATCAAAAATATTAAGTCATACTGCTAAAAATTCTTCGTATTCTTTTCTCAAGGCTCATCTTTTGTGATCACTGGTTTTGGATGAGAACAGAGTTTATTCTGATGACCAGTTCCATCAGTGCTTTTGTGAATTAACAGCATCATTTTCTAATTTACTTTCATTATCTGTCAGCCTGATACATTATAAATATGATGTATTTCCATTGATTTTTGAATAGAACTGTTTGTGGAGTTATAAAAACACATATTTTTGTATGTTGTATAATTATGCCTACCCTTAGGGTTTACTGATAAGGAGGACAATTCAGTTGTTAAGCACTAGGAATGTCAGTGTTTTTTCTTGTTTATCTGGGAATTTGGGGATTAGAAACAAATGGAAGGAGAGCTAAAAATAGAAAGAAGGTGTGGGGGGGGGCACCCGTAGCTCAGTGGGTAGGGCGCCAGCCACATGCACCAGGGCTGGTGGGTTCAAACCCAGCCCCAGCCTGCTAAAAAAAAAAAAGGAAGAAGGTGTAGTTTTTCTGGTGCTGAGCAGGGACAATAGGATTTGGTCATGAGAAGAATTGGAGATAATTAAGATATTTTTTGAATATTCAAATATTTCTTATGTTTGACTGATTGCTTTTGATCCCTGGCAGTGTTCAAAGGGAAAAAAAGTGACATGTTCCAAGTAGGTAATGTACGTTAGATCATTATTTCACCAGACTGAGTGTACGCTTAAAAAGGAACTAGTGGATGGTGAGCTGAGGAAATGAGCCCCCTTACATGAACTAATTAGTAATTATTAGTAATGCGAAGGTGTAGACTTTGTATCTAACACTCTATCACTGACCAAATTACTGTAGCCATATTAATTCATATATAAAAACTTTACCCAGAATACCCAGATAATTAAAGGAAGAATCAAAGAGGATTAGAGGGCTGCAGAGGCAGGAGGCACACTAATACATGAGTGTAGTCACTCCACGCTTCTCTTAAATGCACTTGGGAATGATGATAAAATATTTCTCTACTGCTGTATTTATAAAATAACTATTAAGTCTAAGAAAAAATTATTTTAAAATAGGGTGGAAGATTGCCACTAGAAAGATAAACCTTTGACTGCCAAATGATTTGATTGACCATTAGTACCAGAGCCGGAAACTTCATTGAAGGGCCAGATTGTTTCACTGTGGTGTTAGGCAAACTATTTTTTCATATTTCATTTTTCTGTTTCTGTAATTAGGAAAGCTAATCTTCACCTGCATTTTTTAATCTGATTGAGCCTTGGGTTGCAGTACTGCCTTCATACTGAGTTGGAACACTTTGAATAAATGTCACATCCGTAATTGAGATGATCTTAGCTCTCTTTGCAACTGTAAAGGAATGTAGAAATGTTAAAGCATAATCTCTAAATTTCTCAACTGAATGACACCTTTGTACTCTAATGGAGAGCAACTTCCATTTTATAATTATAACTTTTATTGAAATGATATCTAATTTGTACATTATTGTAAATATTATTAAGTCAGGTGTGAAAATAATTTTTTTTTATGTTTCATGTATACACCTTTAAATGCTTTATAATTTGATTGAATCAGTGGAATAAGCAGCCATATTTTGGCATGTGTTGATATCTTTCCATAGAGAGTTGCATTCTTATAAATATTTTGTGTTATACCTTGTTTTAGTGATCGTGGTGGAGAAGACCCAAACCAGAAAGTAATCCATGGGGTTATTGACTCCTTTGTTCATGTTGAACAGTATAAGAAAAAATTCCCCTTAAAGGTAAAAAACCTCCTTTAAAAACATAATTCAACCTTTTATTTCTTACATTGGTGGTCTGATTTTTTTCTAATACAATGTTAATTGATTTATTCAGTTTTATCAGGAAATATTTGAGTCCCCCTTTCTGACTGAAACAGGAGAGTATTATAAACAAGAAGCTTCAAATTTATTACAAGAATCAAACTGCTCACAGTATATGGAAAAGGTAAGAAGTAACACATACTGTGTCAAATATATTTATCTTTTGTGTGCCTAGCATTGTTTTATTTAATACAGTTTTCTTAGTTAATACTGTTTTTGTTGGTCTAAAAACTTCTGTCTGTTTGCTTGTTACCTCTGTGGTGTAATGTACAACGTCTGTTGATAAGTCATTGCTCTTTCTGTAGCATTTTATCTGAGAGAAAAATACCATTCTGGTCATCATCATGGCTGATGCTTTTTGATTATTCCTGAGTGCTTGGTTTGCTTATTCTTAAAATTCATATATATGCACATTTGGGGCAAAATAATAAACTGGATTTTGTGCTAGGTGATTCAGAGGTTCGACACGTAGGGCAGTTGGGTGTGTGGATTGTTGCCTTTCTTCTTTAACATGGGAAGGCAAAATGAAGGAAACTAGAACTGTAGATACTTGGATAAGTCAGTTACTCTTTGGGTTTGCAAGTTCTTGGAAGGCCGAGGAAAACCTCGACGGGAAATTTTAATTGCTCACTAAACCAGTACATACTGATTACCATATTTAAAATCCCATGTATGTCCGTCTTTTTTCTCAGTAGTAAAAGAAAAATGCGATTATAAATTCAGTCACCATGAAAGATACAGTAGAATTATGAACCATGTTTTTTCATCTGCATTGTTGGATTTCATATACTTTATTATTGGATAATTTTTGTTAGTTTGTGTAGCCAAGAAAGAGAAAATACTGTGTGGGCAGTGGCCGTAGCCTAATGTGCATAGAACGTAAGTCAAGAAGCATCAGTGCTTACGGATAATACCGTTGTGTAGTTCACAAATCCCAGGTCTAGAAGTCTGAGTCTCTTCTTGCTTTTGTCACCAATTAGCTTAGACCCTGAGTAAATCATTTAGGACTCTCTGCCCCATCCAGTAAATGCCGGGTACACTATCAGTCAGAGTTCTTAGCTCTTCACCCTTGCTGCCTCTTAGACTCTTGTCAAAGCTTTTGGAACCAATGCTAAAATCACACACACAGTGTCCTTGGTACATACACGTCTTGTTATGTCTGGTCTCAAAAAGAGGCCATTGGCAAATGGAGGAAACAACCCAGGAGCTGAAAGGATAATCACCATGTGGTGTGTACGTGCAATGGAAGATTACTCAGCCTTAAAAAGGAGGGATGTTCTGATAGGTGCCACGGTATGGACAACCCACAAAACATTATGCTAAGTTAAATAAGCTAGATGCAAAAGAATCAATACCACGGGATTCCACTTACAAGAAATGTTGAGAATAGAAAAATCCATAGACGGAAAGTAGAATTAGAGGTTGTCAGGGGAGGAAGGTAAGGGGAGTTATTGCTTAATGGTTATATAGTTTCTATTTGGGGTGATGAAAATGTTTTGAAAATTAGACAGTAGGGATGGTTACACAATATTGTGCATGTAATTAATGCCACTAAATGACACTTAAAAATGGGTAAAGGGACAGATTTTATGGTAAACATTATAGGGTAATATAAAAAATGTTAATGTAATATTCAAAACTATTGAATTATCCACCTTAAGTGGGTGAATTGTTATGTAAGTTTCATCTCAAGATGTTAAAGGGGGGGCATTGGAATAAATTATGGTTGGGAAATAGTGTTTATTAGAGAAGTTCATTTGGGGAAATAATGGTGACTCATATTAGCTACAAGTGTTAAAATCCTGGAAGCTGAGGACTTTAACACTAGCACAGCACATACGCATATAAATGCATAGGCTTAGAAAACACTCTCTGATGTGAAGGTAGGTAACCAGTCCTGGGGAGCTATGTACATTTAAGCTTTTGGAAAGTGCTGCTGAGTCTTCCTGGACAGAAGAAGGTAATGTGAGGAGGGAAACTCATTTTTCGATACTTTATCACAAATTTTTGGATGAAAATGAGCTTCCAGACTGAGAAGAGTCCCACTAGTCCTGTCTTTCCTACTCTGCTACCCTGTGACAAAGTCACAGAAATGAAGGGTGGAAAAGAAAGGATCTAAATTAAAAAGGTGTTCACGTATTTCATTGACTAAGAAGGTCAAGGGAAACAGGAAGGCTACATTAATTGTAGCTCAGAGCTTTTTATGTAGGATATGTTTTAATAAAGGTTTTGCTTATTAACATATTTGTCTATGACTAAATATATGTATATATTTTTTGCTTTTCTTTTTTTTTTTTTTTTTTTTTTTGAGACAGACTCTCAAGCTGTTGCCCTGGGTAGAGTGCTGTGGCATCACAGCTCACAGCAACCTCAAACTCTCAGGCTTAAGCAATTCTCTTGCCTAAGCTTTCTAAGTATCTGGGACTACAGGTGTCCGCCACATGCCCGTTTTTTGTTGTTGTTGTTGTTGTAGTTGTCATTGTTGTTTTATCTGGGCTGGGCTGGGTTCAAACCTGCCAGCATTGGTGTATATGGGCAGTGCCCTACCCACTAAGCTACAGGCACTGCCCATATGACTAAATATATATCATATATATATATATATATATATGTTTTTTTTTTTTTGTTTTTTTTTTTTGGCCAGGGGCTAGGTTTGAACTGCCACCTCCGGCATATGGGGCCGGCGCCTTACTCCTTTGAGCCACAGGCATCACCCAACTAAATATATTTTTACTTTGAAAAATTTTAATGAAATCTCCCATGTGATAGTTAACATGCTGTTTATTCCCATTTTACAAGAGAAACCAAGGTAAAATAATTATTCTACTTGGTCCAGTTAATGTAATTACTTTTTAGTTTGGTGGTTAAATATTCATATAGAGGCCACCTGTTGTGGTTTTTTTATTTTTACTTATTTATTTATTTATTTTTGGAGATAGAGTCTTACTCAGTCACCCTAGGGTTAAGTGCCACAGCATCACAGCTCACAGTAACCTCAAACTCTTGGGCTCAAGTGATTCTCTCTTGCCTCAGCTTCCCAAGTAAGTGGGACTATAGGCACCTGCCACAACGCCCGGCTATTTTTTAGAGACAGGGTCTTGCTCTTGCATAGGCTGGTCTCAAACTCCTGAGCTCAAGCAATTCACCCGCCTTGGCCTCCCAGAGTGTTGGGATTGCAGGCGTGAGCCACCATGCCCGGCCTTATGGTTTTTAATAACTTTGACCTGCTTTTTATTTTGCATGTTAAGTTTCCATGTGGTAGGGTGAGTGGGGTTTATAAATGAAGACAAATGCAGACTATTTAGGTTGAGTTTTTTTTTATAAGACTGTGATGAAGTGTAGGTGATAGTAGCTTAAGTAAAAAATTGAAATCATTTGTGAAGGAGATGAAATTGAAATTGTTTATATAAACCTTATTTTAATATTTATTGCCTTTCCCGTGTTTACTTGAGGCATTGCAATTCATTTACTCACTGATACTACAGATTTTTCTCTATAGCAAAACTTAGTAGTTTCTGACTATAAAAATATATTTTCACAGGTTCTAGGTAGATTAAAAGATGAAGAAATTCGATGTCGAAAATACTTAAATGCAAGTTCATATACTAAAGTGATCCATGAATGTCAACAACGAATGGTAGCAGACCACTTACAGTTCTTACACGCAGAATGTCACAATATCATTCGACAAGAGAAGAAGAATGGTAAGTGACATCAGACCAAATGCGAATAGAAATTAAATTACAAACCCACTTTCTACATCCTCTCTTAGCCACCTTTGTTTTAAAGTGTATCTTAGTCAGTGTCTTAAAAATATTAGATATATATCATAATCTTAAAAAAGAGTATTTTGAAAGACTGCTTTGGAAAAGTGTGTTTTCAAAGTGTGCTCTAAAGTCAAAAGAAAATGACTTTCTAAGAAAATGTGTTTATGTATTTTTTATATATCTCAAGGAGTGATTCTCTGAACACAGTAAGAATTTCCTAATAAATAGTGGGAATAAAGGCAAAGACTTTGAAAAGGAAATATAGATTTCAAAACTATGAAGAGGTACGCTTGTCACTCAAAGTAGGAGAAATACAAAATAAAGATACAACAGAAAAAAAATACAACATCAGCTGGATGTTGTGGCGGGCACCTGTAGTCCCAGCTACTTGGGAGGCTGAGGCAAGAGAATTGCTTAAGCCCAAGAGTGTGCAGTTGCTGTGAGCTATGACACCACAGCACTCTACCGAGGGTGACAGAGTGTCCTTTTCTCAAAAAAAAAAAAAAAAAGAGGGGGCTCTGCACCCATAGCACAGTGCTTACGGCACCAGCCACATATACCAAGGGTGGCAGATTCGAACCCGGCCTGGGCCAGCTGAACAACTGCAACAAAAAAATAGCCAGGCATTGTGGCAGGTGCCTGTAGTCCTAGCTACTTGGCAGGCTGAGGTAAGAGAATCGCTTAAGCCCAAGAGTTTGAGGTTGCTGTGAGCTGTGATGCCATAGCACTCTGCTGAGGGTGACATAGTATGACTCTTATCCCCACCCCCCCCAAAAATACCAGCATTAAATGGTGGGAAAAAGTTGAATTTTTTAGGAGAGTGAAAATAATATAAAAAATTGTCAATAGCAGAGAATAAACATAATAAGACACCTGCAGACCTATATGGAAACCTAACACAAATTTATAGATCCAGGGTGATCTAATCAAAACCCAATAATTTGGCTTGGCACCTGTAGTTCAGTAGTAGGGTGCTGGCCATCTATACCGGGGCTGGTGGGTTCGAGCCCAACCTGGGCCTGCTAAACAACAAGGACAATTGCAACCAAAAAATAGATGGTGTTGTGGCAGGTGCCTATAGTCCCAGCTACTCAGGAGGCTGAGG